TTTTACCGGAGACGCCGAATTTCCTTCTCCAGCAAGGTAGGAGAGAAAGGGCCGAGAGCTCATTGGCTAAATTGAGGGGCTCCACTTGTAATCTACAAGAAGAGATCGATAAAATGATTGCATTTAAAGAGAAGAACCATGTTGAGCCGTAAGTACTTGTTTTAATTTATTTAATGAATATAAAGATAAATATGAATATACAGTTGAACATAAAGATAGATTTTTAATCTAAAATATCGTACAGTAACTGAAAGGCAATCTATCTTCGAAAAGCTCTTTCGACAAACACCAAAAGGCCCACAAAACGACTTGTATATATTAATTATTCGTGTTTGATCTTAAATAATGAGGTTAATATATTTTATAGCATTCCGAGATTTTAATAAGTGTTTAATTTTAATATTTTAATTTTAATAAGTGCCACAGAGCTATGATAATGCATTACGAAAAGAATACGGTCAAGCCATTCCGTAGTTTTTTTTTTTATGATTGAAGAATTACTGGTGGCCCGGTGGTCTTTCTATAATAGTTTCACAAGGACAGGCGGACGAGCAAAGGCTCAGTCAGGAGGTCATTCCGTAGTTACTAACAGTTTTTTTTTTTATAATTGCTTAGGTGGATGAATGAGCTCACAGCCCACCTGGTGTTAAGTGGTTACTGGAGCCCATAGACATCACAACGTAGACGCGCCACCCACCTTGAGATACAAGTTCTAAAGTATCAGAATAGTTACAACGGTTGTGCCACCCTTTAAACCGAAACGCATTACTGCTTCACGGCAGAAATAGCCAGGGCGGTGGTCCTATCCGCGCGGACTCACAAGTGGTCCTACCACCAGTAATTACGCAAATTATAATTTTGCGGGTTTCATTTTTATTACACGATGTTATTCCTTCACCGTGGAAGTCAATGGTGAACATTTGTTGAGTACGTATTTCATTAGAAAAATTGGTACCCGCCTGCGGGATTCGAACACCGGTGCATCGCTTCAACACGAATGCACCGGACGTCTTATCCTTTAGGACACGACGACTACTATTAATATATAGATTCTGCAGCTACTCGTATTTTACGCTATGTACATCGTGATACATTTGAGCAGTCGTATGTGTCAGTTCAAACATAGAAACTAACTTCATCATCAATCTTCACGTCTGTTAAGTTTTAGGGCAAATTATTTACCGCGTACGTTTTAAATTGATATAAAATTCTAGAATAAATTTTATTTCAGACTGAAGTCAGCGAGAGAAGTAATCAAAGCTTTATGTTCGCCTTCTGCTCTAAAGCCGTTTACGATTCTCGCCATTTACTTCTTCGTGTATCAATGGTGTGGCATCAACAGCATTACGTCATATAGTGTTCACATTTTCAAGGTAATGATAGATTGAAATTTCGAAACAATAGATAACCGTTTTTACTGGTGGTAGGACTTATGAGTCCGCGCGGGTAGATACCACCACCCTGCCTATTTGTGCCGTGAAGCAGTAATGAGTTTCGGTTTGAAGGGTAGGGCAGCCGTTGTAACTAAACTTAGTCTGGCCATAAATACTGTTACCATTAAAAATAAACAAAATATTACATTTGAATTTGGAATCTGTCATTTTTATATGATTGCTCATTGAGTTTTCTCATTTTGGCGCCAATACATTGTACAATATTTTGTGATATTAAAATGGAGTGGGGTGATAAAGAGAACCGAATCGCTGTGATTGCATTACACAAAGTAGGTATGGAGCCAAATGCAATTTTTAAAACTCTCCATACGCTTGGTATTAGTAAAATGTTTGTGTACCGGGCTATTAATAGGTGGAATGAGACCTCCTGTTTGTGACAGAAAAAGATCTGGCCGTCCCACGTAGTGTTCGTACGAAAAAGGTGGTCAAAGCAGTAAGGGTAAGAATTCGAAGAAATCCTGAGATAAAATGTTTTGCTTTCGGACGATAAATCGGTCTAGCTACGATTTATTTTCAGAATATGAGTCGACTATTATCAAAGGCGGCAATCTGACTTTTGGACAATGATTGGTAAATCAGAAAAACGAATTATTGACTTTGTATTCCATTGGCAGTCACAAAACTTTTCGGAACGACATCTTAGATAAATAACAGGTTAACTATTAACCTTTATTTAATGCAGGTTTTGAACCGTATTCTTTGAAGGAGACGATTATATTCAAATAAATCTGTATTGACATATCAATAAAAATTTTTTGTCCAAATGCACAGATTGCCACCTTTGATAATAGACGACTCATATGTTGTTTTATTCGTGTTTTCAATAATCAACTTTATGACTCTTCCCGACACCTATTGGCGAATATTAATTTCTTAATTGAGAGAAACTAACTGATTTAAAGACAAAACAAGATGGCGTTATCAAAAAAAAAACGAGCAAAGCTCGGTCATCATCTACTATTAATAAATGTTTGATTCAGGCGACGGGTAATGAGGCGCACAAAAATGCACTTACGATTGCGTTGGGCGTTGTCCGAGTCGCCTTCACGATTGTCGGGTGCATTATGTGCAGAAGATATGGACGGAGACCTCTCACTTTCGTCTCAGGTAAAATACATATCTTGGTGTAAAAATAAGTAGATTCTTCTTCTTTTTTATTGCTTAGATGGCTGGACGAGCTCACAGCCCACCTGGTGTTAAGTGGTTACCGGAGCCCATAGACATCTACAACGTAAATGTCGCCATCCACCTTGAGATCTCTCTAAGATCTCAGAATAGTTACGACGGCTGCCCCACCCTTCAAACCGAAACGCATTACTGCTTCACGGCAGAAATAGGCAGGGTGGTGGTACCTATCCGAACGGACTCACAAGGGGTCCTACCACCAGTAAATCTGATCTGCCTAGATCCGCTTAGATACTAGATCTGCCTACATACGCCATATAGTAAGCAAAGCCCACCGAGTTTCTCGGCGGATCTTCCCAGTAAGTAGCGATTCCGATCCTGTGGTAGATTTTGCGAAGCACTGCTCTTGCTAGGGCTAGTGTTAGCAAATACTCTCAGGTTGAGCACGTGAGCTCACCTACCCATCCGGAAGTAACTGAAATAGCCCCTTAGTCTACCAGTTAATATGTAAGGGAAACAAGAAACTCAATACTAATAAGTCAATATAAGAATTAACTGCTCTTCTTTAAAATAACTAATTTGTCTTTTCTATTTTTAATTATATCTGTGTATTTCATTCCCAGCCGCCGGCTGTGGGATCACGATGCTGATCCTTGGAGTGTACTTGTATTTCTTGGAAGGATGGAAACAAAACAATGTGACTCCATCGTACACTTGGATCCCAGTGGGCTGTATCTACCTTTTCATGGTCTTCTGCACTGTAGGATACCTAATCATTCCCTGGGTTATGATTGGTGAAGTTTATCCAACGCAGGTAAATATAGACAATTTTTTGTATTTATTTTACCTTACATACTGTTGAGTATATTTTAGGATCTGTGCACTACTCTATGGTTATATATGTGTTAGTCTATAATGTATTATTAATATATCTATGGCAATATGCCACAAATCACTTCACTTCCGCTCTGCTAATAAAATGGTGCCCGTACTTTTGTGTATTAATTTGCCAAAAGAAATCCAATACATACTTTACGGACGCGACATCGCAGCAAATAATTAAATGCCAAACAATGATTTTTTATACAACAGATATGTTATCTTCATAGTAACTGACTCTTCTTTTTTTTTTTTCCTACCTATGCTGATAGCCTTGAGAGGCTATTTCAGCTTACCCTAGCTTGTGTAGGTGAGCTCGCGGGGCTCAAACCGGAGAATTGCTAACACTGACCCTAGCAAGAGCAGTGCTTCGCAGAATCTACCACCGGGTCGGAAGCGCGACCCACTGAGAAGATCCGGCGAGAAACTCAGTGGGCTGTGTCTGTGGGTTAATTCGCTCGCCGAGCCCTTCGTCGCAAGCGACGGGTTCGACGAGGACGGTGACCGGTGCTTGTGGTGCCTAAAAGCATCGTTAATGGAATGACTCTTCAAATCTGATCGCGCCATATATATCTACATCCCTACCGATATAGTACACACACATGTTGACAAGTAGCATTAATGAAAAGTACAAAAGATGGGATAAGCGCGTGAGTAAAAAAGATAAGCTATAATTGCAACGATTGCACTTGTTATATTATTATTGCATTTGTTTAGACGCGACTAAAGACGAAACGTCCCAATTGGCCTGTTTTCGAATCTTCACTTGACGTGCGCTTGAAACATATCTGCTTCTTTTTACATATAAAATATCATTGATGCCAAAATAAAAAATATTAATGTCACGAAGATGTTTGCTTGAAGTCGTGCTACGAAATTTAATAAGATCCAAAACGAGTACATCTGGTGCCTAGAGTTTAATAGCATAGGTATACTTAGGCATAACAGTAGGTTATAGCATAGGCATTGAAATAGGTTAGTTATAAATAGGCTCTAGGCCAGTGCCTCTCAACTGGTGTGCTGCGGCATTTTTGTGTGCCGCCAATTTCTTAAAGTATACACTAAAATTTTACATTCAAAATTTTTAACATAAATTATTTTACGCGGTCTTTTACATATAATTCAATAAATTTTAAACGTATCTTTTTCTTTGTTTGCTTTAAATTTTAAAATAGATAAAAGTGTAGAATCACTGGTCTAGTCTTAGGCCTTTAAATGAGGCCTTCAGCGCAAAAGTGGCCTAAGCTAGGCAATTAGGTTTGAATTTTCATAAATTTGAATTTGAGTAAGCAAATAAAAAATCCGCGCAAAAATAATGTTTACAAAGCTATCTGTTAACTATGGATGAAACTATGGATAGGCCGATTTTGCATCAAAATTTATTATATTTTATAGTACATTGTGCACCAAGGGAGAAAAGTAGGACATTTCCTCACGCGTGTAAAATTGCCACGCGGGAGGAAACACGCGGGATGAGATGTGCCTACTTTTTTGCCGCGGTGCACATACTATTTTTACTCCCACCAGGCCGAAAGTTCGTGGAGTACCGAACCGGGGTCCAGGGGAGAAGCCCTGGCAGGGGGCAGGGGGGGCGGAGCCACCTCTTCCTGTAAAAAAATAATTTAACTGTTTTTTTATTTTTAAATAAACTACTACTAATTGAATAAGAACTGTCAGAAGAACTCATCTTTGTTTAATACTTCACTATTAAATTTTATTGCCTTTTATTTATTTCACTTTTACACTAAATACAATTTTGCAAATTACCCGAGCACAACAATGGCGGAGAATTTTAGGTGCGTGAGAGCAGACGTAGACACTAACGCGCACGCGCACTTATCAGTACACAGGGAGGAAAAGCTAGACTTTCTTCCCTGTGCAGCGGGAGGAAAATGTAGACTTTCTTCCCTGTACAGCTCTGCCTATTTCTGCCGTGAAGCAGAAATGCGCTTCGGGTGGGCGGCGCATTTACGTTGTAGATGTCTATGGGCTCCAGCAACCACTTAGCACTAGGTGGGCTGTGAGCTCGGCCACCCATCTAAGCAATAAATAAATAAAAACCGAACTTTCGGCGTAGGTAGGAGCAAAAATAAATTCCAATATGCGTCCTATAAGCTTGAATTTAAAAAAATGTGGGTTAGGTCACTTTTGCGCTGATGGCCTCAAATATCCACAGGTAGAACGTAGTTGAACTTATAATAGTATGAAGGTGTTTAATTGATTTATTACAGGTGCGCGGCATCATAGGCGGCATGACCACGTGCGTGGCGCACATGTCCGTGTTCTCGGTTGTGAAGACATACCCGTTGCTGGCGAAGCTTATTGGACAATACGGAATCTTCTCCTTGTATGGTGCCATGTCGCTTTTCGGTAAATATTCCATAGTTTTACAATAGAAATTGTCGTTTAAAATGAATTTATCGAAAGACAAAATACATAAATCAAAGGGTGAAAGGTTATTTAAGGACATTTATTAATTACTTAATACGCGACTTTTAACTTTGTAATTAAATATGGGTTTTATTTGGTATTAGCATCAACAGTTCGGTGTTGTTAAGTGAACTTCAATAAAGTTTGCTCCTTTCAAATTCAATTCAATTTGCACCCCTCGAAATTATATTTTTATGTGCTTAAACTTTTTAGAAACAATAAGGTTACAATCTTAAAGTTCTATTCATTCCCTAATGGATATGAATAAAAAAACTTACTTAACGTGGATTTCGTTGCATCATGCGAGCACAATAAAAAAATGCTAAATTAAAAGCTGTTTCTATCAATTTCAGGTATACTTTACTTCTATTTCTTCTTACCGGAGACCAAAGGTAAAAACTTGCAAGACATTGAAGACTACTTCAGCGGTAGAACGAAAACTCTCAACAAAAAGAATAGCATTCAGACTGCCGCGTGATAATGATCCAGACATCGAAAATAGGCCTTAAAAGATCAATTATTAGTCATTCACGGGTCTGTTAATGTTTTATTTGTTACTAGCTGACCCGGCAGACTTCGTAGTGCATCGATCGATAAATAAAAGATCTAAACTGTTGTATAAAATAAACTTAAAACAAACAAAAGGAGTCCGTCCGACGGGGGACAAATCATAGGAAAAACAAAATTGTTATTTTTATTTAATTCCGAGCATTTTCAAATTTATTTACCTTTTAAACCTTCTCTGGACTTCCACAAATCATTCGAGACCAAAATTAGCTGAATCGGTCCAGCCGTTCTCGAGTTTTAGCGAGACTAACGAACAGCAATTCATTTTTATTTAAATAGATTGAAAAAATGATAAAGAAATTTTCTGTTTTTTCGTGACAAAAAAAAACTATTTGTTTGTTTCCACTGAAAAGATACGAGACGGTAGATGTCTATATTATATTACTTTGAAACTATTCCGTGATATTAAATTAAATTGCCTTAACTATTTCATTTTATTCAACTACAGTCGGGCAGTAAATTTGTTTTCTTTTGGGATAAGTAAATTAATTTATCTGTAGTTGAAGCTTTTTCGGTTAAAATAAGTGACTGATATACTATATAGCATTCAAGTGTTTCACTTCTAGAAAATTAGTTAAGTTCAAATTTAAATTATTGAACTTTTTACACATCTTACGATCGGATAAAGTTATTTCAAAACCAAAATTAAGTCAAGTCTATGTTAATCAAGTCAAAACTGATCAAAGATAAGGTCATAATAATAAGGAAATTTCCCCAAAAGATCGTAGTTTCCTCTACCAGCGTCAATCAACAAAAATAACCATGATATTTGTATAGCCGTTTGTGGCCTTTTTATTGTATAGAAACTTACAGACATAGATAAAAGAAGAGATAAAATTTTAAATAAGCGTATCGCATTAAAATAAATAATAAAATCGACTATTTTTTAATTATTTACATAAAAACGTATATTATGAATCGCCTTATTGAAATGAAGTGCCTCGATTATAATATTAATTGATTTTAATGAATATTCAATTTGTGTATTGAAATTTAATTACCTAGTTGATAGCAATGGTGACAAGTAATATATGCCTTCTAAAATTTCCATTTGGAATTTATTTGTCCTCCATATTCCAGTGATGTTGTGCCTCGTATTCTGTCGTCAAAGAGGAATGTCCAAAAGATAAAAAAAAAAGTCTCTTTTTCACACGGCATCAGGATACCATTTAAAAAAAATTATATCCGTAAGCATTCGCTCGGGTCGTCATCTAGCAATCTTCGTTAAGTGACGTCACACAAGCAAAGCACCGAAGTTGACACCGAGCACGTGTTTCTCCTTCAGTGTTCACCAGTGCTCATTGGTAGTCTTTTAGAATAAAAAAAAATGATAATGATAACTAATCCTACTGTCATTGCAACAAAAAATACGTAAATGTCATTTCTTACTTAACAAATAGTTTTAGTGTATATCTTAGTACCTAGATATCCCGTACGTGCCAAGTGTTATTTGAGAAAGTGATTTACAAATTAGTGATTTAGTTAAATAATATAAGATTTTGTTTTTACAGTAGATGTACCTTATATATTTTTCGAAAAGTATTACCGTGTTAATGCCTAGTTAGTTTAGTGTATTATTGAATGATTAGACGTGCCATTAAATTGTTTACAAGCGAGAATAATATATTTTAATAAAAATAAATATGTAATAAAAAGTCAGTTCTGTTTCCTATAGTTGAATTGCCAACTATTTATAGGTACTTTACAATACTTGAGCATCGAATGCATTTTGTTTTTTGTATGTGTTTATTTTATCGATTATAAATAAGCATTTGTGATAATCACGTATCAAATACATTATTGTTGAAAACTGTTGTAAATATTAAAATGAATAAAAAATACTTTAATAAAATTTATTGTTCGTTTTATTTGTATTTATTTTTGTTATGTAGTTTCCGGCGACGATTTTTCGCGACAACAGAGCGCTATGTTGACGAGAATATTATGAGGGTACTTAATCTATAGACACAGCCTACCGAGTTTCTCGCCGGATCTTCTCAGTGGGTCGCGTTTCTGATCCGGTAGTAGATTCTGCAAAGCACTGCTCTTGCTAGAGTCAGTGTTAGCATCACTCCCGGTTAGACCCCTTGAGCGCAACTACACGTCAAGGAGAAGCTGAAATAGCCTCTCAAGGCTATCAGCATAGGTAGAGAAAAAAAAAGTCAGGGCACTGAACCGCCTCGAGTTATCGTTGCGCAAATAGGAAAAAAATAAGAAATTCGAATAGTGTGTGTGTGTTTTTTTTTTTCTTTCACAATACGTTTGAAAAAAATGGTTTCGAACGCACTTCTTATCGCAACTCTGCAGTAGGTCATTAGGAGTCGAAGCAAGCAACCTGTCATGTCCAGCCAATTTATTAGTTTAATATTAATTTTCTGCGCAACTGAAATGAATACCTTGAAGAACTTAGTTGGTAAGTCTCAGTGTATATTGTTCTGAGTCTATAAATTTTACTTCAGCTAAAGCGATCTAAAGTAAATATTTTAAATGTACTAGTTTGTTTTTTGTAACCATGGCACTATCAAAGTAGTTTTATTTATTTATTATGCACACATCACAAGCTAAAAATATACATAAAAACACAAGTGTAAAAAGAAACAAAATCTGGCTTGCAACATAAGCCACGGGCTTGGGCGCACGACTAAGCAAAAAAAGTGCTGAATTTGTACACAATGGTCCTTACAACTATACGACAAAACAACACGATAATGAAAAGTAATAAAGTAACTTATAATGTAAGGAAATAATTTTACTTTTTTTTTTATTGCTTAGTTGAGTGGACGAGCTCACAGCCCACCTGATGTTAAGTGGTTAGTGGAGCCCAAAGAAATTTACAACGTAAATCCGCCACTCACCTTGAGATATAAGTTCTAAGGTCTCACTATAGTTACAACGGCTGCCCCACCCTTCAAACCGAAACGCATTACTACATCACGGCAGAAATAGGCAGGGTGGTGGTACCTACCCGTGCGGACTCACAAGAGCTTAATAATAAGCTTAATAATATGACACGTCTCTTTTGAAAGGTATTCAACCTGTACTGCTGGATGATGGCGTTGAGTTCAACGGAATTTCACGCGGGACACTTCTGAAAATTCTTTTCGATTACCAAGATGAAATCCAGAGCAGAAACATCATGAAGAACACACAGACTTTGTTTGCGGCAGATTTCGCGAATAACAAGTTCACGAGACCACACATCTATCCGGATGTTTACAAAAAGAGTAAAAGTTAGGATCCTGCGAGAGCGATAAGCAGAAGTATGGTATTATATCCGCTCGGCCTGAGTGGCCACACGCCTTATCACGAGTAAAAATGGGAGGTAATTAGGTAGAATTCGTCGTGGCCTAACGGATAAGACGTCCGATGCATTCGTGTTGAGCGATGCACCAGTGTTCGAATCTCAGGCGGGTATCAATTTTTCTAATGAAATACAAACTCAACAAATATTCACGATTGACTTCCACGGTGAATGAATAACATCGTGTAATAAAAAAGAAACCCGCAAAATTATAATTTGCATAATTGCTGGTGGTAGGACCTCTTGTGAGTCCGCGCGGGTGGGTACCACCACTCTGCCTATATCTGCCGTGAAGCAGTAATGCATTTCGGTTTGAAGGGTGGGGCAGCCGTTGTAACTATACTTGAGACCTTGGAACATATATCTCATGGTGGGTGGTGCATTTACGTTATGGATGTCTATGGGCTCCAGTAACCATTTAACACCAGGTGGGCTGTGAGCTCCTCCACCCATCTAGGAAATAAAAAATAAAAAAGAATTTGGGAAAGAGAAAGTTTTTGAGAAGAGGATACTACTAAATTTTACAATTGAGGAGTATTTTTTTTTGTTGCTTAGATGAGTGGACGAGCTCACAGCCCACCTGGTGTTAAGTGGTTACTGGAGCCCATATACATCTACAACGTAAATGCGTCACCCACCTTGAGATATAAGTTCTAAGCTCTCAAATATAGTTACAACGGCTGTCCCACCCTTCAAACCGAAACGCATTACTGCTTCACGGCAGAAATAGGCAGGGCGGTGGTACCTACCCGTGCGGATTAACAAGATATCCTTACTACCAGTAAAGTATTTTAATTTACGGCATTGGATTACTTTGTGATAACTGTTTGTTACGGTAGCCACTAAACATCAAATTTACCATGAGCTTCTTTACCAATCTATTTCAGTAAAGCCAGAAAAATATGTGTTATTATGTAAGTATGTAATCGTTTTAAGTATTTTGTATTTTGAGGTACAATAAACATATTCTGAAATCACTTTTTTTTATTGACCCTACTTATTGACTTAGAATTGTTTTTAATTTTTATAACATTAATTCGATATGGAAATCTCCAAAAAGATAAAAAGATTCGAACAAGAATTCTGTTAGACGTGATATTAACGGAACACGCGTAGTGTGTTTTATGAAGTAAGAGGAATACAAGGGATTAATATAATAAAGTTGATTTTAAACTCACGGTGGAAGCGGTATCGTGTTTGACATTCACACCCTCAAATCACCGTGGAGCAGTCGTCACCTTTCCCAGTTTGATTTGTGAGACAACATTTCCACTATCCAATTACTACCTTAACTGTCGCAAGGTAGGTAAGCGGGGCGATATCAGCGAAATAAAAAAAAATCATAATAGGATTAGTTACAACAAAGCGGTAGTCTGTAAAGTTGATTTACGGACCATAGTTTTATGTGATAACGTCATTAGCAGAACTATTCGAACTGCTAGGTCTGACGTCACGCGAGAAGAGCGATAAATGTGTCACAAGCCAACGCTTGGGCCGATCGTGCCTGTTTATCGCTTGCACGCTCAGGCTCAGGCGGAACGTGACACTTTTTCGTACGTGCAGCCGGTGTTCATCGATTTATAAGACGTTATCACGACAATCAGTTCAAAGTTAATAATTTAGACACAATCGTATGTTAGAATTTCGCAATTAAAACAATAATTACTTCAACATCTAAAAATATCTCAATGGGTTCGTATTAACATTACGGTTACATTAGTTTGTGTTACATAATTTAGCAACACAAAAATCTGGTTGCATTAGCAATGCGCAGCGAATCATTTAAACTTTCGAAATATTCTGAAGAGTATGCTAAATCATCAAGTTGTCTATGAGCTAAACAATATTTTCGAACATGACAGTTGTCATGCTAGTGTAAAATACAGAAAATAAAGTAATTTAATTTCAAGATGCAACAAGGGGATAAGCAATATCCTGGTTTCTGGACGAGAACGTCTCTGATACAGTTCGGCTATGGGATCTGGGTTAATTTGACAGCTATGTCGATCGGTCTCTGTTATGGTTTTTCTGCCGTACAGATACCCCAGCTGAATGCAAAGGATTCTGATATACACCCTTCGCTGTTCGAGGATTCTTTAGTCGGTCAGTTTTTTTTCTATGACTTAACATCTTTAAAAAAAGGTTGGATTTCTCAATTTTTATAAAACGGTTGGATCGGAAATGTTAGTGCTGCGGGTGTCTAATAACAGAGTTAGATGAAATAGGGAGGACGTGTCTAGGGCATTGACGATGACTGGCTTCTGCGTGAACCAATTCCGGCGAGCACTTACCGGCAGCCACGATGACGCAGTTCAAATGCCGCATCAGCTTGTCGAAGTAGCGTCCCGACGCTGACTTCAGGTGCTTTTTGTCCGGGTGTTTAATACGTAAATATTTATTTTGAAGCCTGAATAAATATGTATGTCAGGTTTTTTTTACATAGTACAGGGAAAACTGGCTTAAAGCTAGCTGTTCGGATGTAACTTTTCTTGTAAAAATGATAATTGCTATTGTATGTTATACTTTAACAACAATAATGCAAATATAGTGCAAAAATCAAAATAGATACTTTCGCTAGACAGCGGTCTGGCTGTGCACCCGGCATTGCTAATGTCGGTAAATATTTACGATCATAATAATATGTTCATCTACATATTATGTTCATCAACAGTAAGAATAAGTATCCATTTTACACATATTTTTTTTCATTTTAGCCAGTATATTGACTCTGGCCGCCCCGATTGGATGCGTTCTGTGTGGTTACTTGGCGGACACCATCGGGAGACGAAAGGTTCTTGCATTGACTAAGTTGCCGCTGGCCTTAGGATGGCTGTTCACTGGTTTTGCTCGAAACCCTATACAGATAATATTAGGTTAGAAAAAATTAATTCAATATAATTATAACTTCATAATAAAAACGTCTGGCTTGGTTCACAACCACAAAATGCCGCCCCCGGCATATTTCCTGTAATCTTCTTCTTCTATATATATAAAAATAAATTGCTGTTTGTTAGTCTCGCTAAAACTCGAGAACGGCTGGCTAATTTTGGTATTGAATTGTTTGTGGAAGTCCAGAGAAGGTTTAAAAGTTAGATAAATATGAAAATACTCGGAAATAAATAAAAATAACAATTTTATTTTTCCTTTGATGTGTCCCCCGTCGGACGGATTCCTTTTGTTTGTTTTAAGTTTATTTTATACAAAAGTTTAGGTCTTTTATATATCGATTGAGGCACTACGAAGTCTGCCGGGTCAGCTACTTTTTAATACATTTTATATGGAGTCGCCGCACGCGGTTGACGTCGGTGGCCGCCACACGCTACATATAAAATGTATGAAAAGTACGAGAAATATGCTGGGGGTGGCGTTTTGTGGTTGTGGTCGGTGGTCCGTGTGCGGCGACACTTAACGTCTTCGATCCCGGCGATTAGCATCTTCGGCCACTGTTTTCGAAGAACCAAGAAAAAGGCTATACGTAGCCTGAAAAAACGCAGTAGTAGTGTCGTAATAATAATAAAATATATTAGTTCTATAACTAGCTAGAAACTTAAGCCTTAATCCTCGTAGGTAGACTTATATTGGGCATTGGCTGCGGGATGGCAATGAGCTCCCCAAGAGTTTATGTGACTGAGATATGCCTTCCAAACATGCGAGGCGTTGTGGCTGCGATGCCCAATCTTTTTGTTGCTGTCGGAATCACTATACAAGTAAGTTTACTCATCCGACGCAAAATAGTGAGTCCCGAACTTATTTTTCAATAAAAACTCTAATCGTTAGAAATGTTAACACTTCAATATTTTTTTTCACTAATTATTTGCTGGTAGTCTAATGAGCTATTCTATCTACGCCCGTACGAGTAGGTGAGTTTACGGGTTCAACCTGAGAAAATTTACTAACACTAGCCCTAGCAAGAGCATGCTTTGCAGAATCTACCATCAGATCGGAATCGCGACCCACTGAGAAGATTCGACGAGAAACTAAGAGAGCTGTGTACATTTTGATTACTTTTCATCATTGCCATGAACGACTAAAAACAAAGCATTGGGATTTTTGTGTAAAGGTTTTTCGATCCGCAGGCACACACGGGCGTACGTTCCACTTAATCGTGAATAGTCATCGTGTTTGTAAATGAGTCGGGAGTCCTTTTTTAAGACGAACTTTGTCTCCCAAAATAATACCTACGCTAGGAAAGGGAAGACGAGGTTTCGTAAAATCCAATCTCTATCCAAACCTAGTTGTTATCGGAGCGCATAATCCCCGCTCACAAATCGAATGTTGCCGTCCGTCCTTTTTTATTTTTTATTTATTGCTTAGATGGGTGGACGAGCTCACAGCCCACCCGGTGCTAAGTGGTTACTGGAGCCCATAGACATCTACAAGGTAAATGCACCACCCATCTTGAGATATAAGTTCTAAGGTCTCAGTATGGTTACAACGGCTGCCCCACCCTTCAAACCGAAACGCAATACAGCTTCACGGCAGAAACAGGCAGGGTGGTGGTACCTACCCGTGTGCACCCACAAGAGATCCTACCACCAGTAAAAGTTTGTGGTATAAATTTGGTTCACACTTGGCATTGCCAGTAAAATGAACACTTAACTTCCAATAATATTTCTAGGCTGCTCTGGGATCTGTGTTCAAATGGAGGAAGCTGTGTTACATTTGTGGAACATATTCAGTTGTTATGCTGATAGCAAACTTCTTTTTGCCGGAGACGCCTTACTTTGTGCTGATGAAGGACACCGAGGATAAAGCAAAAAAAAGTCTAACGAGATTCCGAGGGAGAGATTATGACATTGATGCAGAAATGGTTCAGATCATAGAATTTAAGAGTGCTAACAACATTGAAAAGTAAGATTACTAAGAGCTTAATTTACATATTTGTTCTGTAATGGGAAGGCTTTAAAGGAACACTTTAAGCGTTTTCTTGGCATTATCATTCGGTTGTTTGTCTTGGTCCAATTATACCAAAAATAAATTAAAAGAGTCTCGAAATTAGTAGTTATACAGCTAATGGTGTAAAAGTCTTAAATAGACTTGCTGCTAAATAACTCATTGTTGTATCTATTTCAATGTAGAACGCAATGGAAATAATGTGATACATAAAAATATCGGATTAATTATTTTCAACGTTAAATCTCTTACAATACTTATTATATACATAGTTGAAACTCTTTTTATCATCTTAATATAAATTTCAGATTAAATTTTCGAGAACTAATCCGAGCTCTCTTCAAACCATCATCGTGCAAGCCCTTTTTTGTGATTTTTAGTTATTTTGTAGCTATGCAATTTGCTGGTGTCACCATTCTCATGATGTGGACAATCGAAGTGTTAAAGGTGAATTCATAGTAGTGAATTCATAGTAATAAATTAAAGTGAATAGTAGCTAATAATTAAAGGTGAATTCATAGTAGTGATTTCATAGTAATAAATTATAGTGAATAGTAGATTATATTTAAAGGTGAATTCATAGTAGTGAATTCATAGTAATAAATTATAGTGAATAGTAGATAATAATTAAAGGTGAATTCATAGTAGTGAATTCATAGTAATAAATTATAGTGAATAGTAGATAATAATTAAAGGTGAATTCATAGTAGTGAATTCATAGTAATAAATTATAGTGAATAGTAGCTAATAATGTGCAAATATTTTCATGCATTAAACAAAAGTTACGTTTCTTGAAATTGATAAGTAGGTGCTAGTTTTTGTTAGTTACTACGATTGATGTGGTTTTCTTTTTTTTTGTAATTTTCTTAGTCTTTCTAGACTGCAATTTTTGGATCGATTACTAAAAGATGTATTATTATCCTACGAATTATAATATCCAAAATTTCAACTATATTATCAAGAATTCAAAATGTTTTATGTAGAAAGTTGATTCATATTATTTATTTAGTTTTTAAAAAATATCAAAATACTTGTAATACTTGTAGGCTTCCAAAACATCTCTAGACCCGAGGTACGGGAACATTATTTTGGGTTTCACAAGATTATCGACGGCCTGCCTCACTACAGTTCTTCTCTTTAAGGTCGGAAGAAAACCATTAGCTCTAGTTTCAGGTGAATCCATATTTAATATTTATTTAATATATATTTATTTTCCACCCTCAATAAATTCTCTTTGAAGGTGCCATCTAGGTTACCTCGTCGCCCCGTTGCTTTTTTCAGCACCCGCTTTAGCAGAACCAATCTAGGCAAGCACTCACCTACTCCTCGTCTAACTAACCTTTATAATAATCTAGTTAGAAAAGTTGAAAACATTGACATATTTGGCGATTTCCTTCCAATATTTAAGAACAAAATTATAAAAAGTTGTTGTTGAACCTCAGCCTCAGCCTTGGTCTGAGTACTCGGGTATTACTGTCCTTGTTGTCTTTCTTTTGTTTTTAATTTATTATTATTATTAATAGTATTGTTAAATCTCTATTAATATATTATTAATGTAATGCATGCTGTGATTGCCTCTAATTAGAGTTGCAGTTATCAATTGCTCTATACATGTCAATGTTATTTTATGTCTTACTGTAAACCCTGTCGGTAATCCTTAAATAAATAAATAAATAAATGATAATGATTATATAAGCAGTTGTTGTGTCATACAAAATAGTGCCTAAGGTTTTAGTTAGAAGGGCAGAGTTCATCCACAGTGCGTTTCCAAAAATATTTTCTGCCATGTACCATCTGGCATTGAAATGAACATCTTTCCACGGTGCTTCACGAGCGCTATGATATTTTCTTCTTCAAACGAGGCTCGCGGTAGGAGGAGAGTACTCGGCGGTAAGCAGAGGCTTGACTCTATCTCTGATATTGCTGATGTCCATGAGCGACTGTAACCACCCACCATCAGGTGGGCCGTATACAAGTCTGCCTACAAAGGTAATGAGGAAAATTGATATAATTTTATTTTTCAGCTATCGGTGTGGGTATTATATCGGTATTCCTTGGTATGTACATACATTATGCAACTAGGCCCACGATATTACCGCAACTATGCTTCATGGCCTACATGGTATTTGCCACATTTGGCTACTACACAATACCGTTTGTGGTTATGTGCGAGCTCTTTCCATTGCAAGTAAGTTGGAATGTTCTATTCTATTTTAATTACGATCCGACGAATGAGTTAACTGCTCATCTAGTTTTAAATAGTTAACGGAAAGGTATAAAAGCCGCCACGCACCTTGAAAGGTGAGATAACAATCTCAATATAGGTAGTATAACGGCTACTCCTACTACTCAAACCGGAATGCGTGACCACTTCACGGTAGAAACAGGCTGGGTGGCTGTACCTAATCGTACGGCTTTTCAAAATGTCCTACCTCCAAACGGTTACCGGAGCTAATGGACATTGGAAATGCGACTACCGTCTTGAAACAAGAAATTGAAATGCTATTCAACCCTTCAAACCGAAAGCCATCGATTCATCGTAATAGGAATACTCTCTCGTATGGGTTGACTACATCCGACGCGCTTCCTCTTTTTTATACGGCCTACCAATAGATCAGCACTAGCGCACTATCTAAGGTAGTCGAATCCAATCCGTTGGCAGGTTTTTGTAAGTATAGATTGGCCAATGGTTGGTTTTATTTTATTTGTTTACATTATTCCAACAGCTGTTATCTTTAAATAAAATGTACCAATGTGGTGAGACCAAAGAAAACCAATTAAAGATTCTCCCAAGTATGCCATATACACCAAGACGTCAAAAATGAAGCTGCTCCAAATAATACATAATTTTATGATGCTAATATAAACGTTAAAATAAATGTGCGAATTTATAAACTTTCACGTACTTGCCGGTCATAAGTTGTTTTTGATCCAAAAAATAGCCCATAATAGCTTTGTAAAATTAGTTCACCACAGTGTGGCCAAGCCAAACAGAATGACAGACAGATATACGTAAATTAAAACAAGATTTTGAGTTTTTGTAAGGAGTCGCAAACTTAATCTTATTATAGGCTTGTGATTTAAAGTCCCATTTGCTGATACGTACTTTTTGTGTTTCGCAGGTGCGAGGTCTTCTCGGCGGTCTATCATTGTCCTCATTCAACATACTGATGTTCCTAGCGACTTTTTGCTTTCCTTATCTCCGAGATTCACTTGGTTTCGCGTTTACTGTTCTCATGTTTGGGATAATATCGTTACTTAGTAAGTATCGAAAAGGAATAAAAGGAACATTTTAATTCTTTCCATGTTCTTTCGTGTTGGTGGTATTGGATGGGGACTTGTAAAATATTGTTAAAGACATTAGATGTATGAAAGTGCTCATGGCCGAATTGAAGTTAATTGGTAACTGGAATCTATGGAAATCTTACATTTGATAGTATGAACTGAAGAACCGTCTAGCAATTCGATCCTTAAGAACTTTCCAATTCTGTGCCTTTGAATCTACTTCCTCAAAAAACACACGCGCAGATTTCGCAAAAGTTACTTGAATTCTTTGATAAACTTAAAGAAAATTTAAAAGGTTTATAGGTTTCAAGATCTATTGAGAGCCAAGAGATAGAGAACTAAGTATACATACACTATAGCGAGAATTACGTTAATATTCAGATACAAACACTTCATAATTTGACTGGTATTGTTTTTTTTTTTTTTGTAAATTTAAACGGCTTAATAACTATGAGATTTTTGCAGGTGCCGTCTTTCTGTACTATTTTCTTCCTGAAACAAAAGGTTTGACCCTGCGAGAGATTGAGGAATATTTCAAATCAGGTAGATCCGTTCGACAGTCACAAACGAAGCTTCCGGCTCTGATGAAAGACGCCGCCAACAAGAGCGCTACACTTTTGAACAAATTAAAGATTAACAAATAAAAGTCAACAAGTTCTGTTGTTACATTTGATATGCATATATTTGAAGACCGAGCGTCCGATGATCCCGGGATAAATTTTAGTGAAATGAAGGAAGAAAACAAGCTACGAAAACACTGGCGAAGTAGAAAAAATATCGGAACACGTGAATTTTTGAAAACTTTAATAATTTTGTCTTCTATAAAATATTATTTTTAGGTGATTGTTTTCTGTTGTTGTTCATTATTTTTTAGAATATATTTTGTCTTTTAAAGTTTGTTTCAGTTTTATTTATAATATATATTCTTGGGACTTGGTAGTTTAGAGTTCAAAGGCACTCTGATGAAATGATAATATAGAAAAACATTTCTTTCCAAATAATTTATTGATGAAAACAATTACATTTATCATTACGAAGAGAAAATTAAACATACGCAATTGAAAGTACTCTCCACAACTAGTTTTTTTTTTTTTCAAGAAATTAATCAAAGGGGGAAACGACTTTTTTTTTCGGAAACCCATTAAAAAGATCGACTATTCTTTATTTGAATTTTGGATTAATAAATCAACTAACATATTTCATTTATTAATCCCAGATAGTATAGAAAGCCCAGTAGGGCTCCGTGTAAATGTTTAAACATTGGCCAGTGCTTCTAAAACTTTCTCCATGATGTCAATACCTTTCTTGTACATGTCCGCATGAACCCTCTCGTTGTGCGCGTGGACATACAGCGGAGTGTTCAGTATCGGTGTGAAATTGATTACCGGGATGTTGTGTAGTCGAACGAAACGGGCATCGGTGGCTCCCGGACATGTCACACATTTCAATTTCAAACCCCTAGAAAATATAAACATTAATTTACTATCAGCAGAAAAGATATGTTAATACACAGTTTGAGGTATTAGTTCCAAAAGAGACTGCTCAATTTCTGCTTCAATTTTCACGCTGCTGTATCTATGAGTTCGGATAGCGATGGTTCGGCGACAAATGGAAAGATAATATGGCTAAGCGACATTATAAATGGTCAACAAAAATTTCATCGAATTCGCCACTGCCGAAATAATAGTAGTGGCTATTATAAACCCGTACGGGTAGGTATTAGCGATCTGACTCTTTATCCCGCAAAGCAGTCAAGTGTTTCAGCTAGAAGGGTGAGATAATCGATTTAAAATTAAGATTCTTTGTGGACTCCAGTAAGTATCTAGTGTCATTTTTAGCTCAACTAAGCAAAAAATAGCCCATAGACTTGATCTTCTTCTAGTGCAACCAATTCGTTCAAAATGTGACGTAAATCAAACAGCAATTAATTTAACGCGTTTCAAAACAAACTTTATATTCTAGACAGATAGTAACTAGAAGTGTTAAACTTAAGCCCTAAAATAAACGTTATGCATGATAATAAACGTAAAACAATATTTAGAACAAACAAGCTAAATGTGTTTCTGTCAATCTCATTAGATAATAATGTCTGTTTTGACGTATTTAAAAGAACACAAACGTAAGTGATTTGTTTATTGATAATAAATTTAATTTATAGATGAATAGAAACCTGTCTTTAGCACTATTTCATCTAAGTTAAAGAATCTTCTATATCTCTAAGAATATCTCTATGTAATTTTCAGATTACGCTATAGTAAAGAACTTCAAACAGGATCGAAACTAAACTTTGTTCTAAACTTGTTTGATTTTTGCTATTGAAAAACATATACTACATAAACTATATTTTCTATTAAAAGTATAACACGGATACCTTAATTGGATGTAAAAAAAATGACAAATTTATTATATTTTAATGCTTATTTAGTATACCTACTGATCATATAAAACAGCATTAAACCCAGGAAGTTAAATAATAAAATTGTTTTTCATCAAAGATTGGAATAACTCTTACACAATACAGCCACATCTATAAAATTATGAGTATTAAGCACATGTAAACATTGTTAATCTTGGTGATATTAAATGGATTTTCTTCCACTACCTACTTTCTATCACTACGAACCTTTGCGTGGATTTGCTTCTCATCAAATCTTGACCCATATTTCACGTGGGTTAATCTTTTTTAAATTTGATTTATCCTTTTCGAAGCGCGAAAAGTTTTTTTGTCAATACACGATATAAAATTTTAAGAGCTAATTTATTGTGAAATCAAAAATTCTTACATCTTTTTGATAACTTCGACCAGACTATTCCAGAATGGTACACTTCCATCGGTTTTCGTGCTGTAAACTTGTGGATTTTTCACAAGATATTCGAAGGTGACACCCTCGCCGGCCTCTTTGCACCAGGCTTCTATCTGGAATTCAGCTTAAGATTCAATCGGAAAGTTAATTCTAGAACTACAAATTACTCGTAACTTCTTTGTACATAGCAAATACCAGCCCAAGGGATTATCTAAACGACTTAATGGGTTATCTATCTATAATATAAATATATGGATGTGTATCCCTTTGTGTTTGTGTGTTTATGTGTTTGGGTGTGTGAATGTATGTATGCATGTATGTATTATATGTTCCGTATAAGTTGCGTATGTATTATATATAGATTCCGAAACGAAAAATAAACTGTTCAAGAAATCTGCAAACAAGTGATCCCGTGAAGTTTGGTAGCAATCTTATCCAATCGTTTTATCTATATTGTATAATTTAACTAGTGCCATTTATATTAGGTGCGTATTCACGCAGCAACTAGTTAAAGGTAAAGATCCGCTATCGCTGTATGCAACCGCTAATGTATGCGAAACACCTGTTTGTTTGAAAATGCCCCATAATCCTATGTTGATGGTACTATGATCTTCGGAGTTTCAAGAATAAGTACCGTGCCATCAGTCAATGGTTTTAAAAATTAGATTATTTTAATATTCTATTAGTGTTTTCACAAGCTACTATACTCTGTTCCAATTACGAAGTCCCTTTTGACACTTCTTAGAATGTAACTCTTTCATTTTTAACGTAACGCTTTTATTAGCTTCAGACGTATGTATGCTAGTATGTAACGGAATCTTTGAACATGATTTTGACCCCCTTCAAAACGTCGGATTAACTCGAAATTTTGTATACTTATTAAGGACCTATGACAATTCATTAATAACAAAAAATTTGAAAAAAATATGAAAAAATTGAAATTCAACTAAAAAATGAAAAATAATAGTTTAAAAAAACTAACAAAATACGCTTTTATAGAAAATACAACTAAAAAATAGAAATTAAATTTTAATAAATTTGAATTAAAAACAGTGTAAGAAAAAGTAAGTTATTTTCTATTTTTAGTTGGATTTTCTATAAAAGCGAATTTGTTAGTTTTTTAAAACTATTATTTATTTGTTCATAGTCGTAAACATCATTTAAGAAATACACAATTAATCTAAATCATTATACAATTAAGTCACGCACACAATAACATAATAATAACATCTGTCTCACGGAACTTCATAATTGGAATAGAGTATAGGTATTTTTAAGGCATACCATATTTCCAAACTCATCCAGATCTACGTCAGGTGCTATCCTCACGTCGAACGTGGCGCTCAGTACTTCAGGTAAAACATTAACCATAACTCCTCCCTGAAACATTAATGCTTTCACATAATCTATAGTAATTATATATTACAGTGTAATCTACAGTGGTTTTTACGGATGTTCCGTTATAACTACTGAACCATGCATCCGATTGACTTGAAATTTGGTATCTATTTAGAAAATACATGTACTTAATGAATAGGGTAATATTTATATGAGTGTTGGACTCCTTACACCAGTTGCGGGGGCGTTAATGATGAGAATCTTTGTGGGGGTGAGAAATAATGCCCAGCGAAGCGGACGGGTACAGCTAGTATATATATAATACAAAAAATATGTCATAAACTTAAATGAATTAGGTTGTAGAAAAATTTGCTAGCCATTATTGTTATCTGTGAGCGGCAAATATGCGGTTGTTTTTTGATTAAAAAGGCACTGGTCAAAAACAAAAATTTCTCGCTTCGATGTCGTCAGTAAGTTTTATAGATGATTAAAATGAAAACGCTCTATAAAAATCGGTAAAAATGAAATTAATTTTCCAGAGTTTGTAAAGACAACACACGGTGCTGACCTAAGTTGATTGAGATATGGTGATATTAAGCTATTGATAAGGATTGAAAAGGATGTGTTTTTAAGCTATTTCGTGTCAAGTGGTGACGCATTAAACACACTGAAGCGACAACTATCATAGAATAGAAAAATCCGGAAGCCAAATGAATACGAAGTGACCCTATATTTTTTTTTTAAACTAGTCTTTTTAAAAAAAAAAAATACTTTAAATTATCTAGAACGCTATCAAAATTACCAACAGTTTCAGTACGGGTAGAATAAATTATTGAGAAGCTGCTTTAATAACAAGTTATGGCGTATTCTTATCAATGCATTTTGAATAATATAATTAGATTCAGCCAAAGAAATCGCTAAATTAAAAAAAAAATATTTATATTGCCCTGGTACAGACGAGCATGATCCCCGTGATGGTGAGTAGTCACCGTCGCCCATGGACGTCAGCAATGCCAGGGGCACAGTCAAGCCATAAAATTAAGCGTAAAATTACCGTTATTCCCATATCTACTTAACACTATCGTGCTCTTTATTTATTTTCGCTCGCATATCAGCAATCGACTCTGCTGTATCAGATATGAGTAGGTTAGTTTAAATGGAAAATAGTTATGAACATTATGCTTTAGAACATTGATAATATTTTACGTTTTTTATTTGATTTTATCCATTGCACGACAATTCAGCTCACGTCGTCTGTACAATTATATATATATATATATAATCTGAATCTCGGAAACGGCTCCAACGATTTTTATAAAATTTAATATACAGGGGATTTCGGGGGCGATAAATCGATCTAGCTACGATTTATTTTCAGAAAATATTGTTTTATTCGTGTTTTCAATAATCAACTTTATCGTAAATCAACTTTATGACTCTTCCCGACATCTATTGGCGAATTATAATACTATTTTTCATAATTGAGAGCAACTAGCTGCTTTAAAGACACAATAACACTAAAGCTATTTCAGCAGATAGCGTTGTTAAGCCACCCGAAGCCAATGAGTGTTTGGTTTAAAGTTAGACCAAGAAATTATGCCTTCCTGCTACAATTAAACTAATATGTACAATAAAGCAAATCACTACATTTAAAATTATGAGCCTCAATGTAAATCTATTATATTATTATTATAATATATACTATTTCTGTCATGAAGCAGTAATGCGTTTCGGTTTGAAGGGTGGGGGAGCCGTTGTAACTATACTGAGATCTCAGAACTTATATCTCAAGGTGGGTGGCGCATTTACGTTGTAGATGTCTATGGGCTCCAGTAACCACTTAACACCAGGTGGGCTGTGAGCTCGTCCAACCATCTAAGCAAAAAAAAGAAGATTAATTGTTTATTTAAATTACTTGCGTCTTTTTAACTCACGTGTTCACTTAAAGACGCCTAAACGATTTTGGAATATTTCATCACTTTATCAATATGTAATTCGTATTAAAATATCTATATATATAAAAGAAAGTCGTGTTAGTTACACTATTTATAACTCAGGAACGGCTGAACTGATTTGACTGAAAATTGGTGAGGAGGTAGCTTAAAACCAGGAGAAGGACATAGGATACGGATTTTATCACGTTCCCGTGGGACGCGACATAAAACGTGGTATAACAAAACGCAACTGATATGGAATAACAAAACGCAACTGACAGCTAAACGTAATATATTCTATGGTTAATGATAGCTGAATTTTGAAGTTGACCGGTTGATGTGTTTGAAACAAACCGTGTGGCGGAACAAAGTTCGCCGGGTCCACTAGTAATTTATAAAACAAAAATTCTGAGCAAAATTCGGTCATCGCCTAGTTTAACTTAACGAAGACAAATTATAGTTTTACATTCTCACCTCGACTTGAGTTAAGTTGATTGTAGTTACGTCGCCTATGAATGTATTAATAGGGGGAAGCGTTTTACGTTTTTCTTCAGCACGCAGACTCATAAACTTGCTCAGTATCGTATAAAACTGTGGATGGTTAATGGAGAAAAAAAATTGTATTTAATTAAAGGTTAATCATATTATAATTTAGTTATATAAAATAAATAAATAAAAGAAATTAACATTATTCACTAAATTAAGCGGTATGAACTTATTTAAATCTCATACAATAATCGAAGAACCAATAATACACGATTTGTGAAAATAATTTAAATTAGTTTAAAATCAGTATCTTTTGAGTAACTAGAAGAGAAACCGAGAAATAATAATAAATTTAGTTATAAGCATCCGTTTATACGAGTATAGCAGTTTAGTTGTTTTTACATTAGCTACATTAAAATCTTTTATTGCATTTGAAGGGTGGAAATTGGGACTTTGATCTCATGTGAACCTCGATGATGGCATTCGTGATGTCTATGAACACCAGAAAGCGCCAGATGGGTTGTGAGTGCAACATCGAGGAGTATTGAACATAATGTAATTATAGTACTATGGTTTTATTAAAACTCTTTGTGGGTTAAGTTATTGTCCGAATGCAATTGCTTTTACGATAAGGCTTATTGTATATAATATAATAAAAAATAAAATATCTTCGTAATGCTTTTCAATCTGATTACGACTAAATTTTGATTTATATTAAAGTATAATCGATTTATATCGTATATAGTATTAACTTCGTTTTTCCCGAGTCTGTAGACATTATTAAAACTAATTTTACGGTTAAATCTCGTGTTTTTGTATTGTTTTATATTATTTAATTATCTCTTAATCATAAGATTACAGATTGGCCAAATAAAAGGCCAATCGGTAATACTACAATGCAGATACTGTTTTTTTTTCTCTTTCAAATAATGTATGTCGAAAGTGTAAGCAAGGTACAAACGTCAAAGAAGCTGTCTTATTTCTAAGCGAATTGTACCGAATTGCAACGTTTAGTAGTATTTTCTTAGTAATATATCATCACCAACATAATAAAAAACAAAATATGATAATTTGTGTAAAGTTTTGACTCTAAGCTGTCAAAAATATTAGATTTTTTTTTCTGTGGTTTTTACATTTTGCGCGCGTGGTTCATTTCACAATGATACCGTCCTGCACGTATAAATGTTATGACGCGCCCAAAAATATATATTTGTAAAATATTATAATAAATAAATTTACTTTTTCACCGGCGTTATCAATGTCAAGGAGGGCGCCGTGTCCTGGTTCCCCTTTGCATGTCACTTTAACCTCTGCAACCATTCATATAAATTATTTAAGGATTTTTAGGTACATATAATATGTAAATTTCTTAATCATGAAAAGATTTTCTCATTTTAATTTTCATAAGTCGTACCACTGAATGATGATTTAGGGTTAAATTCAATATGACTTTTAGGGCGTTATTTTTTGTTATTTTAAATAAAGCATATTATAATACTAGGAATAGAGTAAGAGATAGACCTAAGCAAAAATGTATGGATTGCATGAAATACGTGACGTGTAAGAAGAAATGGTATATGGACAGAGGAGTATTGAAGGAGAAAACATGTTGCGCCGACCCCAGGTGACTGGGACAAGGGTAGGAGAATGATGATGAATACTAGCATGCTTGAATACTTGCTGGCGCCGCTGCGGCTGCGATGAGATTATGAGTGCAAGGCTTATCCGAATAAAAGTGAACTGTTTTAGTAACTGGTTAATTAATCCGATTAAAGTTTGTACAGTTTTATGGGACCGACAATGATGAATGATATGTTTTTTTCGTTGCCACGCGTCGTTTTATTTTGAAAGTCCACGCCTCTCCCCCACTTCTGCCGCGGTGAGGAAAATGGGGTTGCTATGTTTCGAACAATATTAAATAGTGAAAGTATTTATAATGTATAAACGATTTATGTATTATATAGTATTATATGTATAATGTATTATTAAGTTAAGTATTTATGTATAATGGAAGTATTTATAATATGCAGACGCGAAATAAGCAATAACTACGAGATATAGCAAAATTTTCGAAATTTGGTCGTTGCAAATGAAGGGCACAGACTGCGGAAAGAAACGATAATAACGAAGAAGCGGCAGTTCTGCGGTAAAGGAAGGATGCGCAATAACTTATGTGAGTCGTCTATTATCAAAGGTGGCAATCTGTGCATTTGGACCAAAAAAATTATTGATATTTCAATACAGATTGATTTGAATATAATCGTCTCCTTCAAAGAATACGGTTCAAAACCTGCATTAAATAAAGGTTAATACTTAACCTGTTATTTATCTAAGATGTCGTTCAGAAGAGTTTTGTGACTGCCAATGGAATACAAAGTGAATAATTCGTTTTTCTGATTTACCAATAATTATCCAAAAGTCACATTGCCGGCTTTGATAATAGTCGACTCATGTAGTCCTTACTGCAGGCTCGTACCGCTACGCGATGAGAATCACCATCAATTTCACTTAATGACGTATATATTACAACAGAGACACGAAGCGCGCGCGCGGTAGTTCAGCCATTACATTTTCATCTCGAGTCGATGTCGCCACACGATCTCGCTTGCACGCGTCGTTAGGTAAAGTGCGGGAGAGGGATGGGACAGGATTTGCAAAACCAAATTAAATGTTGCTATTTTCCGAGACCAAAAACTAACAGTTATATACCAGCACAACCAATATATATTATGCATAAGCCAGTGGAAGTATATTACAATAAAACTCACGTCTCGAAGTACGTTCACCGTTGAATACAATTAGCTCGTCTGGTTCTGGGCTGGGCGCGCTCTCGTCCATTCCAAAGCCCACGTTCAGGTTCTTAAATTCCTGCGACTCGGAGAACGCTTTCATGCCGTATGTACTGCCGATTTCTTCGTCTACCCATCAAGATAAAGCTATGTATAGCAACAGCCTTGCTACAGAAGCCACTTTACTTAATTGTAATTAGAGAGATATGGAAACAAAACAGATATAGGATTGATTGACCTATTTATATGTTTAAGTAAAGAAACTTCCTTTAACTGGTGGTAGGACCTCTTGAGAGTCCGCACGGGTAGGTACCACCACCCCGTTTATTTCCGCTGTGAAACAGTAATGCGTTTCGGTTCGAAGGGTGGGGTAGCCGTTGTAACTATACTGAGATCTTAGAACTTATATCTCGAGGTGGGTGGCGCATTTACGTTGTAGATGTCTATGGGCTCCAGTAACCACTTAACACCAGGTGGGCTGTGAGCTCGTCCATCATGTAAGCAATAAAAAAATAAAAAAATTGCGCTGTTTGAAAACCACTTCAACTAATGTGGAATGTCAACAAAACAGCGGTGACAAAGATGAAAAATATGAAGTCACTAATTTATATTTGTGAATTTCAAACGTGGTTTCTTTGTTTTTACAGTTTAGTGTAGTAATGGTAATACGTAATTGAAACAAATAAAATACTTTGCTTTTACTGAGCAACATGTTTGAAGTTTTCTATGTAATTATAACAAAAAACACAATGTTCCAACTCACCAGGTACAAAACTGACGTGTGTTGTTCTTTTCAAACGTTTACCAGACTTATTAAATCTACTGATAGCTTCCAGGTATATCATGCCGGTGCTCTTCATGTCTTGAGATCCGCGGGCGTATATGAATCCATCGTCAGTGAGTTTCGCCTCGAACGGGGGATAAGTCCACAACTCCTAGTTATTGAATATAACAAAACTAGATTTGATTTCTACAATAAATTGACCAAATTTCGAATCGAGAAGAGCGCTTGTACTAAATACTTTTTTTTATGATTGAAGGATTATTACTGGTGGCCCGGAGGCCTTTCCAGTTTCACCAGGACAGGTGGGCGAGCAAAGGCTCAGCCAGGAGGGGTGGGATTTGCTAACAGCTACCCGAGCGCCTCCGAAGGAGACCTAACAGCTCAAGAGTAGCTGCTCCGCGAATGAATCTACTACCGGATCGGAATCGCGACCCGCTGAGAAGATCCGGCGAGAAACTCAGCGAGCTGATTCATGGGTTAGGTTGCACGGCGAACTCTTTGTCGAGTTCGACGAGTACGGTTACCGAGGTCCCTAAGCCTGCTCCTAGTGTTAGAGCTGAAGGCGTCTAATGCAAAGGTTATGGATCTGATGGATCCGTAAGGACGTCGACGGTGACTGGCTCGTACTAAATACTAAAAAGTATTAGAAGCTTTAAGAAACATAACGCTCAAATAAATGATGAACTGGAAACATCAGTGCATTTTATAATTCAATTGCATGTATTTTTCTTCTTAGTTTTAGTTTGAGACTAATTGGTTTTATTTTTTATCGTTTCAAGTATGATTTTGTTAACTTTTAAATTTGTAATAATTTTGCTATAGTCAAATAATGAATTATTCTGACTAAGGTTACAATCTGCTACTGTTATATATTACCAGTTAATTCTGGTCTAAAAAATAAATTATGTGGGCTGCTTGGAAACTTTCTTGGCATAGGCAATGTATGGATACCTATGCCTGTGTTTACTTATCATTTGGTAGCTCGTCTGTTAATGACTTTCATATTGACGTTGGCATTAAAAGAAACTTACTTCGTTAACAGGCACGACATCCATATGAGAATTGAGCAAAATCGATGGTAGATCTGGTTGAAGGCCCTGGAGCGTGACAACAACTACTGGTTTCTTCGGCACTATCTCATGTACTACAACCGGCAAATTCATTAACCTCGCTTGCGCTGTCAAGAACTCTACGCAGGCACCTTAAGATTTCAGGCAGTATATTAATGTAATAATAATATTATATACATATTTAACGGAGCAGGGTAGGATGATTCGTTATGAGTGTGGTCAAACATTATCGAGATCTCAAAATAACAGCTTGGACAATCAATACAGATGTTTATTTTCACTGTAGCCAACAAATTTACAGGGAATCCCGAATGATCAAACGGATTGCGATCAACGGGGTAAGTTCGTTACAGCCACGCACGTCACCAAGTAATGACTGTTTTTTTTCCCCTACCTATGCTGATAGCCTTGAGAGGCTATTTCAGCTTACCCTAGCGTGTGTAGGTGAGCTCACGGGGCTCAAACCGGAGAGTTGCTAACACTGACCCTAGCAAGAGCAGCGCTTCGCAGAATCTACCACCGGATCGGAAACGCGACCCACTGAGAAGATCCAGCGAGAAACTCAGTGGACTGTGTATGTGGGTTAATTCGCTCGTCGAGCCCTTCGTCGCAAACGACGGGTTCGACGAGGACGGTGACCGGTGCTTGTAGTGCATAAAACCACCACGACTGTTCAAATCGGTGATCTCCTTCAGAATGATGGCGGTCTTTTCTTTACCGTAAAACTATACTTTAAACGTCAACTGTCAAACAGCCACAAACCACAGACCGTCGGAAACTAGTGTTGCCATCGCTGTATCGAACTGCTTGACGTTTCCGACTAAACTCGGTTGATAGCATTTACTGAGACTGCGACATAATACTTATAATTTAATACAAATACGTTAATTTTCATTCTTGGATTGAGTATGCTCTACTATAATGTAATAGGTTTTTCGTTTGTAATAGTTAGTACTAAAATGGTGGTAAGACGATAACGTTTACGATGGTATATATCTTTTTAACACGATTTTATTAGATTGGTAATTAGTATGTACAAGTGTGATGTAATAATAATAATAATAATAATAAACATTTATTCCAAACACAAATTAAGTACAAAAAATAAATAAAAAAGGTAACAAAAATAACGAGGCTTGTAAACGGTTACCGGCTCAGCAATGCCTAACAGTAACGAAACAATCGGTACTGCGGCGCTGATCTTCCGCCGGCACCTGCGGAGTGACGCGCACACCAGCATCAGACCGACCAATACACAACATTGTGAAATATATTAAAAAATAAAAAGAACATGAATAATAAATAAAAAAAACAGTTATGAAAAGGACAACAAAATGACATTATTAAATTAATTAAATGAAAATTGCGGTTGCAAAGCACAATTAGTTTATAGTACGGAGTAATTATCAAATATATAAAATATCAAATATATTTTCGAATTTTTCTTGTATATTCAAAAGATATACTTTTAAATTTGTTTTAAAGGACCTTAGCGTTCTCTGGTGCCGGATAGGTGGAGGAATATTATTCCAACATTTAGAGGCCAAGTAGCGGAAGCTGCCTCTAAAAGCAGCAGAGCAGTGTCGAGGAGTTGCAAACACTTGGGAGCGTTGTCGCGATTGCCTACCGCCATCTCCTAAATAAGTCAACTTAAGATGCAAATAATTCGGCGTTTGCAATTTTACGACTCCAAATAATAAACAAGCAAAATGCAACTTCCTTCTCAACTTTAAATTCAACATTTTGCTTTGATTAATTATCGGCATAACATGGGATCGTGGTGGGATGCTAAAGCAAAATCTCATACATGCATTCTGTACTCTCTGTAATATGCGCCCAGTTGAATTAAGTAATCTTGATCCGTATACCACGTCCGCATAATTCAGTTTCGAGAGAATCAGTGTCTCAACGAGTTGAATTCGAAGTTTTTCACTGAGATAATTGCGGATGCGGTACAGGACCTTCAAGCGATAGAAGCAGTGGCGGACCATCTCAGTGACATGCTTCTTAAACCGGAGACCTGCGTCCATCAGTAGGCCCAAGTTACGCGCCTCATATACTCTCTCAATGGGGTCATTTCGAATATTTAACCCATTGAAAGGTTGTGATGGAAGCTTAGATAAACGAGATTCATTTCCAAACACAATATATTTAGTCTTGATGTAGTACGTATGCTTGTTTTTATGCAGAAAAATCTCTGATTCATTTTCAATCGACTACTTTTAAACTATTAATTTACTGGTGGTAGGATCTCTTGTGAGTCCGCACGGGTAGGTACCATCACCCTGCCTATTTCTGCCGTGAAGCAGTTATGCGTTTCGGTTTGAAGGGCGGGGCAGCCGTAGTAACTGTACTTGAGACCTTAGAACTTTTATCTCAAGGTGGGTGGCTCATTTACGTTGTAGATATCTATGAACTCCAGTAACCACTTAACACCAACTGTGAGCTCGTCTACCCATCTAAGCTATACAAAAAAAAACTATTCAAGACTACCGATTCACTTGCAAAAATTGCACATGTATCAAGGACCGAGGACAATACAACAATTTATTATAATAACTTCGCTTCAGTATGAATAGGATAAATGAATTTTATATTGATTATTCTGTTCGATAGTTCGATTTGCGTTCTAGAGATATTTTTAAGCTATTTCATAGCTTCTATCGCGGGCCTTGAGCGCGGCGACTGAATCAAGAAATTCCGTAACGAAAATAACCTGACACCCCCACTACGCCTACTATGTAGCTCGCGTTTAACACATTCACACGTTGTGCTGGTGTAGTGTTTGTGAATAAGCGCGCGGCGTGACGTCGCACTGCATGAGCATCATGAAAAGTCTGCCAATCTCTCTCTCACGCGGTCTAGCTTTTGAGTGTGAAGAGGACCGTTAATGTTTATAAATATAGCGTGGTCTTATTTTTAATATTGTTTTAATATTAAATTATTATTGTCTAATTGTAATTGCATAAGTTGATAAAAAATGCTTTGCAATAGCTTTACCGCGGTAGTCCCCGAGTGCCACACGTCTTTTTTTTTAGTTTTTCTTTAAACCGAAACTGCTTTTTTGCAGTCGTTACAGAATTAGGCAGGAACGTGGTGTGTGCAGGCTTAGAAAACTCCCTAGCACCACTAAATTCAATTGGTTATTTACTACTCATAGACAAACAAACAATACTCACTATAATCCACATCTGGTTGTACGCTTGGTATTTTTAAATATTCCCGGAACCGCATTATTTCTTCGTCGTTTTCCCAGGCTGCCATATTGAAAATAATTTCAGAGTAAAACAACCCGAATACTGCACCTTAAAAATTTTGTAAAAATAATATATTCTTTTTAAGAACAGAAACAAAATGGTACTTTTAAATTAGTGTCACGTAACAATCAGTTAACAATTCAATTCTTTTTTTAGGTTGTCAACAAAATGCTTTGACGCTAACACGAACAACATGCACTAATTAATAACAAAAGTGAACTGAACGTACTGCAGTTTGTGTTGTATGACTTTCCTTATCAGTTGTTATGTGGTTCGAGAGCACATTGAATTCAATTTTAATATTAGATTATACCACTATGCGATATCACTTAGTTAATGACTTTTAATATTTTACCTGTTTTCTATTACAATTTATAGGCGAACAAGATTGAAGTAATCAATCTTACTGGACGTATCGCTTTAATCCACGCATCTTCTTTTTTAGGAAGCAGTCATATTATGTACCTGTTGGTAGTTGGCAGGAAGTGATAATCTTTATGCAACACAATTAAAACTTCGGTCTCGTATTTAAAGTCTATGAGGCGAAATTTCGATTCTCGTGTCACAATGTTACATACCATACTCCTCTGAAACGGTTTGACAGTTTTTTATGAAATTTTATATGCATGTTCAGTAGGTCTGAGAATCGGCTACTATCTATTTTTCATACTCCTAAGTGATAAGGGTTGTCCACCCCTAACATTTATTTTTTATTTTTTGGACGTTTTTTTTTTTTATAATGAGGAATTAGGTATGTGGTTGAATGAGGTTTTGTTATTTTTATATTCCCTAATCATTGACAGCGCTACATGCCTCTTTCACTAATTTACCACATCCTTTCAAACTTACAATAAGTTTTTTTTTTCTACACTAGAAATTCCCTAGAAACCTTATATATGGCAAAGCAACGTTTTCCGGGTCAGCTAGTACATATATAGGTTTCTAACTTCAAATTCAGCTTTATAAACTTCAAATTCAATTTTGTAAATAACAAATTTAATTCTGTAAGCATCAAATTTAATTCTGTGAATATCAAATTCAATTTCTATTCGAAGGTCAGATGTTTTATTATTATTCTCCTTGTTTTTTTCTTAGTAGAGTAAAAATAAGATGATGGGACCATGTCAAATAATTCCTCAGGGCGCTCCCCGTGGAACATACGGTACAAAATACAGAGACCTGATGTCCCTCCGCAAGTTCCAAACGATCCGTGAGAATGGGATTATCGACAATCCGAACGGCCTTCTTCTGTATGTAGTCAAATGGAAGTAGCTGGTATTTGGGAGCCCCGGCCCAGAGGTGGGGGCCGTTGTAGATGTCTATGGGCTCCAGTAACCACTTAAGATCAGGTGGGCTGTGAGCTCGAACACCCAACTAAGCAATAAAAAAAAACTTAAATCTGTTGCTACAAATGTGGTATACTAATATCTAGGCAACAATTTGTTCTATACAGCAATGCTAAATCTTTGTAAAAGACTCGAAGTGTATTGAAACTTGCACGCTGACTATTTCTATTATACATTCCGCCGAAATGCTACGCTGAACTGTCACTCAAGACAACTTTTTTTTCATTCCTATTCGTACACTCTTGACAGAGTGGTCGTGGTCATGCATCAGTCGGATACGACCTGCTCATGACTCTCGTGGGAAATTAGTGCAGTGGTTTCCCGTTGCCTTCTGCACCAGCATTTTAGGGAGTATTTGGTCCCCAATGTTTCTGACGCCTCTTCCGTACAGGTTGTCCTGACGGGTGTGTATGGTTATACCGCCATTGCTCGGTCGCCATTGCCCCGTTCGTTCTCTAGCAGGGAGCACCACGGCAACCTGTTGGTCGCCGCTGCCATCCGGCGCGTGCAGGTGGGGTTGACAATAGGGCCGGTGAAGGTAGCATTCCGATACCCCTTACTCCCAAGACAACACAATACTTAAAAAACCACTTCAACTAAATACTTATTACTGTAATTTAGTGTTCTCTTCTGTTTTTAAGGCGCCATTAAAACTACTTTCCGTAGAAAAATATAGGGTAGTTAGCACAAGATTCTTAATAACATGTCGACGAACAACGCCATAATTCTCTGGGACCACGAAAACTGTAAAACATACGAAATGTCAAAAATAATATTTTTTAATGACATTATAAAAACTTAAGATTTAGCCGTAAAAGTATAATAGTTTTAATAATATTGTACAATAATTTGCAACATAAAAGATTGCTCTCTCTGCGAAACACCGTGCCACATGGCGTCGCATCGCGAGAGCATCGGTATCGCAGGATCCGACTGATACATGACCACGACCACTCTGTCAAGAGTGTACAAATAGGAAGAAGAATAATTTGCTTTACATTAATACTTGCGTTTGTATGTTTATATTTAGTGAGGCCGCAGTGAGGAGGTATATAACAGACGCGCCTAGCGTTCCTTCGAGAAAGAGAATTTAATGCATGAGCGTCATCTAAATTCTGGTTACATTGCGAGTAATGTCAGGCATATTCACAAGATTATGTTCTGGTAGGAGGTATTGTGAGCTGACATGAGTAGTTTACTAGGTATTACCGTTTCGCCTATTTTTATCGCGAAGAAGTCCTGCATCCCGGATTGGAGGGCGAGGTACCCACCCGTTATTTCATAAAATTAAAGTTTCGATCTCACATCTGAGCATAATCAATCGCCAAAAACATGTCGTGACGTCTGTATATATTAATATTCCCTTAACATAAAATGGGCCGTGAGCTAAAAAGAATACAATGAAAATTTCGTGTACATTTTTCCCTTAGAAATTCTTATAACCTGATTTGTTTCGGGGAAACTACGAACGTATCCTGTACAATTCAAAAACCTTGGCGCCTGAACAAAATCTTCGAGACAAAAATGTGACAACGGATTTTGCTTTTAAGCCAAAAAGAAATTATCGTTTACAAAATTTCAATTAATACATTAAAACTTATTTAGGCCCATTTCAAGTAAAGGTTATATTATAGTTAGCATTAATCATCCAGTAATATATTAGTTTTAGATGAGAAGTAAATATACATTCATAAACAACAATCTATTATGAAATAATCACAACACGTTTCCAGGGTTCCACAGATAAAAAATATAGCTTAATAATTTTAATTAATTTTAATTTTAATTTTATAATGTTCGTTTGTCATAGGTATTTGAATAATATTTAGTAGATTATTGAAACAATAACATGGGTCGATTTAAATTAGTAGGTATTCCTTTATTTGGGATAAATTAACACATATCCATGTAATATTTCAAATATAGGTACTACACAAACCAAACAAGTTTTCACTGTTATGAAAACCATAACATTCTAGATGCCGTTTTACAATGATGCATTTTTCTAAATATATAATAAAAAAGCTAAATAAAAAAAAAAGTGTGTGTGTCCGCTCCGACGCACGACTGGAGTTTACTGGATATAAAAAATTAAACGAAACAATACGAGAAATAGTTCTATATTACGACAACACGATACACTACAGATTATTAACAAATTAACGAGACACAAAACAAACGACTAACAAATATATGAAAATACAATAATGAGAGAAACGCGCGATCAGTNGACACGGTCCCAAGCAGCCTTCTCTTGAAGAATCAACGGAGGAGGGGCCTGATTTCTCGTTTGTGCCACCGGGCGCGGCGACGGCGTGGCACGGGGACAGGGAGCGACGGGGGTCGGAGGGCGGGGGCGCGACGCGTTCGCGGCTTTGCTTATTTTAGCGGCCGCGGAAGCTCGGGACTCCGCGGCGCGCTTCTTACCCTTTTGGACGAGGGTGAATCCATCTGTTAATGAGGCGGGAACGAGGTCAACCTCCATATCCGAGTCAGAGTCGGAGGACGAGGAGGAAGGCGCGGGAGCGGCGGACGCGACGGAAGCCGCAGATGATCGCTGAGGTAGAATGGAAGCTGCCGCGGTAGACGCGGGAGTTTTTCGCGACAGTATGGGGGACACGGGTGTGCTGGGCGCGACGGAGGCTGCGGTGTACGGCGTGGGAGTTTTGCGCGCGTTTGCAGGGGACGCGGGAACGGCAGGCGTGGCGGAAACGACGGGCGCGGCGGGCACGGCAGAACAGTTCACGGCGCGTTTAGCTTTGTAAGCTAAAAACCTCCGCAAGCTCCAAACGATCCGTGAGAATAGGATTATCGACAATGGCTTTCTTCTGTATGTAGTCAAATGGAAGTAGCTGGTATGTGGGAGCCCCGGCCCAGAGGTGGCGGCATACTCCACGCGAGGCTGGACTTGTGCTTTATAAATTAAAAGTCTTATTAACAAATTATTACTTAACTTTTACTTACTTTTACTGTTGTCGTCGTGGCCTAAACGATAAGACGTCCGGTGCATTCGTATCTAGCGATGCACCGGTCTTCGAATCCCGCAGTGGTTGCTGAGTCCGCACGGGTACCACCCCGCCTATGTCTGCTGTGAAGCAGTAATGCGTTTCGGTTTGAAGGGTGTGGTAGCCGTTGTAACTATATTGAGACCTTAGAACTTATATCTCAAAGTGGATGGCACATTTACGTTGTAGATGTCTATGGGCTCCAGTAACCACTTAACACCAGGTAGGCTGTGAGCTCGTCCACCCATCTAAGCATTAAAAAAAAATTTGGAGGGCGAGGTACCCACCCGTTAATCCATAAAATAAAAGTTTCGATCTCACATCTGAGCATAAACAATCGCCAAAAACATATTGTGACGTCTGTTTATGTTAACATTCCCTTAACATAAAATGGGCCGTGAGCTAAAAAGAATAAAATGACAATTTCGTGTACATTTTCTCTTAGAAATTCTTATAAACTGATTTTTTTCGAGGAAACTACGAAGACATCCTGTACAATTCAAAAAGCTTGGCGCCTGAAGAAAATCTTCGAGACAAAAATGTGACAACGGATTTTGCTTTTAAGGCAAAAATAAATTATCGTGTACAAAATTGAAATTAACATATTTAAACTTATTTTAGCACAATTCAAGTAAAGATTATATAATACTTAGCATTAATCATCCAGTAATATATTAGTTGTAGATCAAAAGTAAATATACATTCATAAACAACAATGTATTATGAAATAATCACAACACGTTTCCAGGGTTCCACAGATAAAAAATATAGCTTAATAATTTTATAATGTTCGTTTGTCATAGGTATTTGAATAATATTTAGTAGATTATTCAAACAATAAGATGGGTCGATTTAAATTACCCAGTAGGTATTTCTTTGTTTCGGGATAAATTAACACATACTCATATAAAATTTCAAATATAGGTACAACACAAACCAAAAAATTTCACTATTAAGAGAACCATAACACTCTAGATGCCGTTTTACAATGATGCATTTTTTTAAATATATAATAAAAAAGCTAAATAAAAAAAAAACATTACTTAATATCTAAAAGAAAACTCCGAAGCTTTAAAATAAATGCAAAGAAAAAGGAATTAAAAAATGGTTTCCGACTTATTATTTTAAGCATTATAAAAGATTTCTAGAAAAGGCTAAATATTTATATGCCTCTTTTGTATCACCAACATCATTATCAGCCTACAGTTATCCATTACTAGACATACGAGTATCTCTCAAACAATTCTTAGTATATTAACCACAAAAATTAATCGCGTCCACGGAACCCGTTGCATTCCTGACGTTTATTTACCGTGTTCTTTTTTATTATTACAACGTTTGAATTTGCGTAAAATGGAACGGACCAAGAAATCGCGCGAAACCCTCCTACGCGGGCCTTTCAAAAAACCCCACATTCACGATTCTCGTTGCACATAGCGTTCGACCGCGCCGCACCTTTCGCCGCCTGTTACTCGTACCCAATAAAAAGCGTACGATCGATATTCTAAATTCAAAAGTGACAGAAAATTAGTGGATCTGTGTAATAAAGATGGTTCGTAAAATCAGTGCGCTTCTCTGCTGTTTCTGCGTTTTGGGCATATCGATGTGCGATAGCGCTATTTCTACGGACAACGTAAGTGAATTTATAATCGCATATGGAACTATTCCTTTCAGTTGTTCGAGGTTTTATTCAATTACTTTTTATACAAATTAAATAAATTAGTCACTTTTTTTTTTTAATTGCCTTTATAGGCAGACGAGCACACGGCCCCCCTGATGGTAAGTGGTCACCGTAGCCCATGGACGTCGGCAATGTCAGGGGCAGAGCCAAGCCGCTGCCTACCATAATCAAATATCGTTCTCTAAAAAATCAATTATCGTTCAAATAGAATTAATTTATAACATACAAGTTGACCTTTCTTACAAAAGCCACTCCAGTTTCTAGTTCGCGGCCTTGGATGGAACTTGTCGCATTTGTATTAAGCTACTCTTGGATACATACAAAACGTTCTAAACACACTGAAACGATAAGACAGTAGTGGTTGTATAAATGTAAATTATTATTTAAAAATAAATATTCCAAACCTTGATAAGATATTGATAAGCATATTTCTCAAAGAACCATCATTAACATAGGTACACTTTTTTCCAAAAACTTTGCTTAACTTTGACTTTTAAAGAGTATCTATTAAGGTAGAGATAATGTCATTAAAAATATACATTTTTATACACTAAACTACGAGTATTTAGGTACATTTTTTAAAGTATTGAGTGATTTGACAGTTGTGAAGTAGCAAATAGACACACATAGATTTTCTGACATTATTTTTGTTTTAACTAAATGAAAAATACGAAATGTTTTTATTTTATACTCGACTATAAAATTCGACTATGAATAATAATGAAGGGAATTAAGACACGAGTCAATTTAAATATAGAATATTATTATGTAGATATATCCTATTGCAATATTTAGCACACGAACTACTGAAAAGTCAGGTGTGCTCAACAATTGGCAGCGTCGTCACAAAATTAACTTTTTTTTTAAATTGAGTCCATAATGTCAATTTTATTAGATAATTACCATGTTGTCTTTGGGTCACACAGACCTACATGTCTTATTCGAGATTAGTTTATTATTTACCATGGCTAGTTTTATTTGAAATATGCTTTAATTATGTAATGAAAGAAACATAAAAATACCCAAAACAGTCAATAAACATGAATCACTATTTTTCAGACTGAACAGCTGTTGAAACAAAACGTGAACGAATTGTAAGAAAACAATGTATTCACAACTCTCAATGTCTTTCTTGCTTCGTATATATTTGTAAAGGAAAATCTATGATGACACAATGTGACAAATCGCTATCGTTAAAGAAATGACAGACACAGGTGTTGATTTTTTCAGTGTCGACTAAGATAATATGTATATCTAAACTTTTTTTTATTTGCTTAGATGGGTGGCCGCTCTCACAGCCCACCTGGTGTTCAATGGTTACTGGAGCCCATAGACATCTACAACGTAAATACGCCACCCACCTTGAAATATAAGTTCTAAGGTCTCAATATAGTTACACCGGCTGCCCCACCCTGCAAACTGAAAAGCATTACTGCTTCGCGGAAGAAATGGGCAGGGTGGTGATACCTACCCGTGCGGACTCACAAAAGGTCCTTCCACCAATGAAATTACTAAAAATAATCTCTAAATCGTAATGTCAATCATACTTTAGTGATAAATCACTAGACTAACACTAAAGTGCAGCGGTTCACAACCACTGTATGACGCCCCCTCAAGTGTATCGCGAAATTTACAAATCTCTAGGCCAGGGGTGGGCAAATACTTTAAAGCGCGGGCCAAAATGAAATTTTCAAAATGTCTCCCGGGCCGGAGGACTATACCGCATATGCTTTTTTACCGCATATGCTTTTTTAATGCTGATGTCAACAAAATCTCATAAAAGAGTTTAAAAAAATTGATGTGCGGAATTTTTCAACGGGCCGGATAAAATTAGCAAAAGGGCCGGATCCGGCCCGCGGGCCGGCTTTTGCCCACCCCTGCTCTAGGCTATACATACAGGGTAAATTTACAATTGTTTAAAAAATTAAAAATTGTGGTATAGTATAATAAATATTCCTATACCGATCTAAGCTCATTAAAACAATTAATAAATCAACATTAAGTACGTAGAGTGTGGTAAATTTGGAAAGCATATTTTATTGCCTCACTATATAAAAAGATTGAGAGCCGCTGGCCTAGCGTATAGCTCACAGTATTCGTATACATTACACTCTAATCAGCCTGCCAACACTCGGGGATCCAACTCACGTTGCCGCGTTTTATATTAAATTATTTAGCAGTTAGTTTAATTAAATTAGCGTAGTATCGTCAGTGGCCCAGTAGGTATAAAGCTCAGAGGTTCAAATCTTATGACCGTTAACAACGTTTTTTGAGAAATAAATACAAAATACAAGCTTAAAACATATTCACGGACACCTTCCATAGTGATAGAAGAACATCTAAACTAATATTATAAAGCTGAAGAGTTTGTTTGTTTGTTTGTTTGAACGCGCTAATCTCAGGAACTACTGGTCCGATTTGAAAAATTATTTCAGTGTCAGATAGCCCATTTATTGAGGAAGGCTATAGGCTATATAACATCACGCTAAGACCAATACAAGCGGAGCACCAATAAATATATTATAAAATTGAATATATAATAAATAGCTCCATAACATTCTATTATTCAAAAATATTTTCACTTTCTACATAAATGAAGAGGCGGGAAAAATTTAGCGTTATGCCAAAGTAACTATTCCACGTGGACAAAGTCGCGGGCAAAAGCTAATCGTATATATAATAAATCAAACCAGTAAAATATAAAGAACAACTACTGGTTCTAGAACGTATTTTGAACTTTTGAGTAACCGTACTATTAAGACTCTCTTCTCATGTCTCAAGGTGGTCAGACATATGCATCTTATCCATGACTTCCAATAACACCAGAAAATCAGATGGATAATAGAAATAAATTTCCTGAGCCATTTCAAAGGCGGTATGTGCACCATTCGAGAAAGTCAAGGTACTCTAATTTAAATAGCATTCAATGATACCAGTAAGGAAATAATTATATTCCATAAACAAAAACTTGGATTATTTCTTTTTTTTATTGCTTAGATGGGTGGACAAGCTCACAGCCCACCTGGTGTTAAGTGGTTACTGGAGCCCATAGACATCTACAAAGTAAATGCGCTACCCACCTTGAGATATAAGTTCTAAGGTCTCAGTATAGTTACAACGGTTACCCCACCCTTCAAACCAAAACGCATTACTGCTTCGCGACAGAAATAGGCTGGCTGGTGGTACCTACCCGTGCGGACTCACAAAAGGTCCTACCACTAGTAATTATCTATTAAACCACAAGGCTTAACAGCCAATATATTAAAGAACAATAGTTAACCCGTAATTGTAATTGAAGCACGAATTAACGAAAAAATGTCACTAAATAGAGACAAAAATAATATACACAGATATTATTTATGCAGCTAGAAAATGAATATAATAAAAACTTCTTAAAGTTTTACTTGAACCATGCGTGAATTGCATATGGTTTTTTTAAGCCAGACTCCTGAAATCGAAACAAGTTAAAATCTTTAAATTCTATTTTGATTCTCGAACCTTGGATTGGAAACATACAAAAGTCCGTTATTCCCTATGAAAAACAGAATACTAATATTTTAATTATGCTATAGATACTATGGCAGTATAATGAAATGTATTGAGTACGTCTTATTACTTACTAGTAAGTACTATAAGTACTTATTAGTAGTTCAATGAAGTACTAATAAGGCAGGTGCTCTTAACAATCGGTGCGTGGAACCGAGACAAGGGAGAAAGTGTTCGCTTTGTGCCGACAACCGTGTTATGGCGTACTAATTGTTAAACGTTCTCGTTTTGTCGTGCAAAAACATATCCATAGATGAGTACCTTTATTTTCTAACGTCTACTTCATTGTGGAATTAAATGAGAATGCAGTGATGCCAACTCTGGGGTTTTCCCCCCAAATTTAGGGGGAAAAAATCTATACAGGGATTTTTTTAGGAGGTGAAATTTTTTAGGGATATTTTTAGGGATAAAATTTTATTTGTATTTTTTAAAAATTATCAACGTACATCAACAAAAATAACAATTAACAATTTCATAATATTGTGATGAAATTAAAGAAAAATACTTATAAATACTAAATAACTGTTGTTATTAACTAATTATTTTTTTATTTTTTTTATTTCTTTACTTATATTGTAATGAATAAATACTTGGTCCGTCGTTGGGGAGTTTTGTTTTGAATTTAGTGGTTTTTGAAATTGCTTTAGGGGGAAAGTTTTCAAACAGTTGGCGACACTGTGAGAACGCTTTATTAAATTGCAGTAGGTTTTGGATTACGAAAAAAAAGACAAGAATCTTATTCCCGACATATTTGCGTGTTAATTGAATAAAAAGTGGAAAATAACGCAAAATAATTTACTTGGAAAGAATATAATAATAATTAATGTGCTTCCGTGATCAGTTATAACAAATTCCCTATTACAAACTTGGCTTCGCTGTTACATAACGCGGTTGCTTGTAACCGTGTCGTCTGATTGCCGGTTATCCGCAAACCGAGTAACAAATCAATTATAAGATACGTAACCGGCATTTCTATTGAGAGACAAAATGCTTAAAAGCCCTGACGTAACTAGACAGCATCGTTTTGTCTTGAAAATGCAATCGCGTTACATTTTAATGCTTACGGAGGATCGAAAATCATTTCGGAAATTTTTGTCAGTTGTTTCCCTCACAGCAGTACAAACCAGTAGCTTAAAGCTCTGCGTCGGTAGCAAACTTTTTTTTGTACTTATAAAAGAAAAACTTTTATGCTCAATGACGACTTTCTTGACATTTTCATCACCATATTTAAACACTTTATTTTTAGCGTAAATCGAGCCAAAGTGATTATCGTTGAGCCATGCTTACTAAAGCTAAAAGCAATAAATAGTTCATTAAAGTATTGATTTACAGTACAATATTATAATATAGTAGAAGTACTTCAAAAGAGAAGGAAGACACTGTCATAATGCTTATATTTTTGTGAC